CCCTGTAAACCATACGTTCTCCATATCCATGGATTCAGCCAACCACAGATCAAAAATATTTGGGGGGCTAGTAAAATGGTGCAGCAGGTAAAGCCACCTCCTGTAGTGCTGGATTCCCATATGGCACCAGTTCAAGTCCCGGCTACTCCACTTTCAATCCAGCTCTCTGCTATGGCCTGGGAAAGCAGTGGAAGATGGCTCAAGTTCTTGGGTCCCTGAACCCACATGGAGGACCCAGAAGAAGCTCCTGGCTCCTTGCTTCCTACTGGTGCAGCTCCAGCCATTGCAGGCATCCAGAGAAAGAACCAGCGGATGGAAGACTTTCTCTCTCTCTCTCCTCCTCTGCCTCTCTGTAATTCTCCCCCTCTGCCTCTCTGTAACTCTGCCTTTCAAATAAATAAATAAATCTTTTAAAAAGTTCTAAAAAGAAAAACTTGAATTTATCACACATCAAGCATTATATTGAATCCATGTGAATTAAGTGGGAGGTATAAACTTGTATCAGGTATTACAAATAATCTAGAGATGATTTACAGCACACTAGAGGATATATGTAGGTCATATGTAAGTACTACTCCATTTTCTATTAGAGACTTGGGCATCCTTGGATTTTGGTATCTGTGCATGTTTCTGGAATCAACCCCCTGTGGATATTCAGGGACAACTGTGGTTCTCAGGATGAAAGTTATCCACAAAATCATCTACTCTCACTGCATTCTGGCAACTTTGCTGCATTACTTGAATGCTGGATTGAGTCAGGACAATGCCCAGAGGGATTTGCCCATTGCTTAGGGAGCAGTTGGACATTATTAATATTGTGTAACTTGGAGAAATAGTAGAATCTTGGCCACAAGTTATTCTCTTTGTCTCATGTTGATATTTTCCCCCGCTAAAAATAGTAGCTTCCTGCTTCTCTGAGATCAGGCTCAGAGGACGTCTTAACGTCAATGTTGAAATACTTACTTCAGCTGCAGGAAAGTAAGTCTGTTGTGTCTCAGCAGAGCTGCTGTTGCAGTAACGCCCCCACAAAGGCCTGGAGGAAAGGCACACACAAGGATCTACAAAGGGAAACACAGCCAACATTCTCTTTCTTCTCTCCCTCTCCCTCTTTTTTTTTTTTTTTTCCTTCTTCTTTTAGCTCTGAGCTATGGATGTGCTTAAAAGTCTGAATGATGAGGCCAATTCTGAATGGTCCTTGTTCATTGGGGTAAGTTCAAAGGTATCAGAAGTCAGCCTCTGAGACTGAAGGGAAAATGCTTTCTACTAAGCCGCCAGAAGAATTTAAACTCAGAGGGCTTCATAGAAATTCAAAGCAAACCCAAGAAGGAAGTTGAAGATTGTTCCCTGACGTCTGGAAAGATGACTTTTTTTTTCCCTGCAGGCAAATCAAATTCACACAGCTGTGCCTTTAGAACAATTAGACACACCTAGAAGATCACACTGAGATGCCAAGAAAATGTCCCCAGGAGAGAAACAGCGAGTATTCTGACATCATAAGCACTGATTGACTTTTATAATTCTGAGATCTTTTCATGCAGGTTCTATTCAGATAAAAAAAAAATGCAAGCATCTGTGCCGAATGCCTAAGTGTTTTCTCTCTGCAGTGGGCTGGAGCAGCTGGCAAACATGATTGAGGACTGATAAACCCGTCCTGCCCATCACTTCAGTGCGGTCTGCAGGGCAGAATTTGAAGGATGTCTGAATTTTGAGAAGGCACTAATTGCTCAAAGGATGAAACGAGTCCTATGAAACATAGGCCAGTGCCTTGCTGAAATCCAGGATGATGCTATCCGAACCTCAGAGAGAAAACCTACTGACAGAGAAGAGACGCACACACACTAAGAATAGGAGGGTGCAGGATGATACACTGACAGGGACTTGACAGGCATCAGTGAAACCTTCAAGAACTGTACCCAAAATTTGACAGTCAAGCATGAAACAGGACAGCAAAAATCTGTTTCCTAAGAACTATTGGAAATCAGGTTACTGGTTTAAGTATAAGCCTCTGATGTTCATCAGTTCAAGGAAGGCAGAGGAGACGGTACCCAAAGGGCGTTTAACAATGTGCCATCGTCACTGTCAGCATCACTCACCTGCCAAGGAGAACTGGAAACCTGAACTGGGCCCTGACTCACTTTGGCACAATGCAGTCAACAGCTGTCTGATAATTTATCAGCATATGAAACCCCTCTGTTACCAGGCCATGACACCAGGTAAGGGCTGGAAAGGCCAGATGCCATCTGAACCAATCAGAACTGGGGACTTCAATCACCACTGCCATGTTTAATGGAACCACAATGCCTCACATTGAAGGATCTCGAAGATCTTGGACCACCAATGATCATTTCTCACACCTACTTTTAGCTGCAGATTTGAAGGAGGGGCTGGCATTGTGGTGCAGCAGGTTAAGCTGCTGCCTGCAGCACCAATATCCATACAAAGACCAGTTTGAGTCCCAGCTCCTCTACTTCCTAGCCACCTCCCTGCTAGCATGCCTGGGAAAGTAGTAGAATACGGACCCACACGGAAGAACCAGATGGAGTTCTAGACTCCAGCCTTCAGCCTGACCCAGCCCCAGCTGTTGGGGCCATTTGGGGAATAAACTAACAGATGGAAGATCTCTCCCTCTCCCTCTCCCTCTCCCTCTCCCTCTCCCTCTCCCTCTCCCTCTCCCTCTCCCTCTCCCTCTCCCTCTCCCTCTCCCTCTCTCTCTCCCTCTCCCTCTCGCTCTACCCCTCCCCTTCCCTCTCTTTGTTTCTCTGTAACTCAATTTTTCAAATAAATAAAATAAATCATTAATGTTAATTTTCATGGAAATAATGATTAGAATTCCGAACATTCATATGATGATTTATAAGTTGCAGTTGCACATGTACAACAGCTGCTACTGCAAGGGGAATGGGAAGGAGAATTAGATCCACCAGATGATCTGGCAATCCCACTACTGAGTATACAGCCAGAGGAACTGAAATCAGTATGTCAAAGAGACATCTGTACTCATTCCCTTGTTTATGTCAGCACTACTCACAAAAGCCAAGATATAGAATCAACCTAGGTGTCTACTGAGAAATGAATGCGTAAAGGAAATGTGGTATATATACACAATGGGATATTTTTCAGTCACAGGAAGGAAATGAAATTCTACATTTGCAGCAACACTGAAGGAACTGGAGGATATTGCGTTAAGTAAAATCAGACAGATACAGATGCATGTTGTCACGTAAAGTGATCACTTGAAAAGTTGTTCTGAAAAATGTAGAAAACAGAATAGTGGCTACCAGAGCCTGACAAGGATCCAGAGGAGGGTGGATGGAAACAAGACGGTTAAGGGGAACAGTTGGGCAGGAGCAATAACTAAGGTTATCCAGCACAGTAGGATGAATTTAGTTGACAAAAACTAATTGTATATTTCAAGATAGCTAGTAGAGAAGATTTTTACTTGTTGAATGTTGTGGTTAGTGGTGCATTAAGCCTATGATTATAGAGTGGCTGAAATTATGTTTTTGTAAAAATTCTTAAAAAAAAGAAAGGAAGGAAGGAGGGAGAAAAGGAAGGAGAAAGATGGGCGAAGAGGAAGAGGGAGGGAGGGAAGTATGGTTATCCTTTAAGAACTCTGCCTATGAACGATGTGAGAACTGTTCTCTATATATTAATTTTTTAAAAATTTTGGATGGTTCCAACACAAAGAAAATAGTAAATGTCCATTGTGATAGATATGCCAATTTTCCTGATCTGATCATTACACACACTGTATACATGTATTGAACTATCTACCTCTACCCCATAAATATGTACAATTACTATGTGTCAATTAAAATAGAAGTATATTGTAAAATAAAAATAAGAACTAAAACACTTGAAAGTGAAAACAAGGGAACAGCCTGACATCTAACACACCAAAATATGTCACAGTAGGATCTTCTACTCTTAATCCCCATCGCCAGTGGTATTTGCAACAAGAACGGATGAGGCAAATTAAATAAAGAATGATAGTTTGGGATAGTTATTTTACACCCCAAGTGAGCAATTAATGTATTACTGCTTTCTGGAAAAATATGATCTAAACAAATAACAACATTAAAAAAATCCCAAGATTATTCAGTATGCATAAAAAACACATTAGTCTCTGGCAACATCTCCAGGAATTAATTGAGTATAAAATATTGTGCAGAAATGGGGGAACACTTGCAGTAATGAGAAAAGATGATGGTTTTACAAAAGGCAGCACCAAGCCCAGAGCCCTACTCCCCTCCCCTCAGCTCCCTTTTCTGCCTCCTCCTTCTGCTGAGACAGCAATGCACAAGACTGTAAACAGAGAGCATGATTTACAGATGAATCACGGCTGTGTGGCCTACAGCTCCAGCGGAACTCGGGAGGGAACCACTCTCAATGGTGACGGCCTCATTACTGGCGTTGTGAAGGCGGCAGCCTGTCTTCTCTGAAAGATAAAGTGGTATTACGCACACTTCATAGGGCAAATTAAATGCCTTTGAGCTTATTTACCAACTTGAAGATGGTGCTGTTCTCCATGAACTAAAGCTTCAAAGCAAGATTATGCAAATAACTCATCCTGTGTCCCCTGGGTGTAGCAGCCTTCTGCTTGGCTGGGTTTTTGACTTTTGGGGTCTTTTGTGTGTTTCACTGGGAGGGAGAGAGCACTCGTCAACTTTGCAGCTACTTATCATGGAGATCCTGGAACTTCCGGGTCACCTATCACCAATGTGCCAGGTTCTTAGTCCATGTGTATACATGATCTCATTTAAGGACAATAACCACTCCTTGAACTAAATAATATGGATCCCCAGTATACAGACTAATGCACCAAGAAAGCAAGTTTCTGCCCCAAGGTCAAAAGAAATAGTAAATGACTGAGATGTTGAGAACTCCCTTGTACCCACTTCACCACCCCAGAGTCACCGCTCCAGACCTGCAGCTTTGCACACTGCTTCAGATCCACGCAGGAGCGGCCACATAAACACATCTGCAATGTTCCCACTTACCCAAAAGTGTTCATGTGTCAGTATCCGCATGGGAGACCAGGAGCAAGCACCTGGCTCCTGGCTTCAGATCGACGCAGCAGAACGGCCACAGTGCGCTGGCCATAGTGGCCACTTGGGGGGTGAACCAACGGAAGGAAGACCTTTCTCTCTGTCTCTCTCTCTCACTGTCTAACTCTGCCTGTCAAAAAAATTAATACACACTTTTGGATTATTTGTGAATGTACTTGCTCAGGTTAGTGCAGAGAAGTTGAACCACGTTGAAGGAACCTGGTTCTCAATGTGAAGACGAGGTGATGCATCCGTGTCTCTGTGCCACCTGTAGTTTTCTTATAGTGGCAAATCGGCATGACTCACCATGGTGGGAACAGCGAGCATGAATAGCTGTGTCTGAAACTTCATAGGTCTTTAATGTGCTAACTTTCTGCACATCTCTGCCTCCCAGTTTGGCTGAGCAAATGGTCACAAGAAATCACTGTTTTCCAAGAACAGCTATAGAGATGGCCAAGGCCAAGGGTCAGCGAGTCCTAGGAGTTCGTCTCAAACTTCTGCATCAACATCTTCCAGGGGAAGCAGAGCCAGCACTCAGAGGGTTAGGCTCAAGACCTTCCACAAGGCAAAGGCCTCTTCGAGCTCTCATGCTTTGTCAATACCTACGGAGATCTTCCATTTGTGCTAATTAGAAATCCACATCTTTCAACATAAAATATGATTTCATATTTCGTATCTACTTAGAGCTGAAGCTTCAAGAAGATGCATCCTATGGCTCTGGCAGTCTGTACCACATTGCAGTCTGAATGCACAAATACAGACTAGAAAGTCCTTGGTTCTTAAAACTTCAGGCAAAAGAGAAGAGTGGGGAGAAATGGAGGAAAGAAAGCTATACAGCTAAGTGCAGCCAAATGTACAGCAAATTAATAACAAAGACAAACCCCAGCCTGCACCATTTCAAACAAGATCTGCAGACGTGGGTGCTCTGAGTCCCAATGGTGCAGACAGCACCACCCCATATCCCAAGAAGGGGCCCTTGCTGCTGGCTGGACTTCCCAGGCAGGGCTCCCAGGCTGGACCCAGGAGGGAGGCTGACTCACTGGACTGCAGACCAGCCTGGAAATCCCTGGAGGGCCCTTCCAGGCTGCCCCTCTTCAGACGTGAGCTGGGCAGGTGAGCGCCGCACTGCTGTTCTCAGGGACCTGCCGTAGCTGTCCTTGGCTTCACAGATCTCCTGAAGGGGATCCTTTGTGGAATGGGCCCCAGGGTGGAGAAGGAGTGGCCTCCACAGTGCGGTTCTGTGACACACAGTGCAGGCTGTTGTCACCAGGCCTGATGTGGCCATCGGTGTATGTCTGTGAGGGTGGTTGCCATGGCACCAGGCCTGTACACAATGAGTTCCATCCTGAGAGTAACACCCAGGAGTTATACTGACTGTGTGATGACTTGTACAGGCCATACGAAGTGGTGGGGCCTCAGAGACATCCTGGAAGGTGCTAGCGATGACACCAGAGCCTGAATAACTCTGGGGGTTCTGGGAGGGGATAGACAATGCAGGGAGGGGCAGGGAAAGTTCTGGAAGGTTGTGACAGAGGGATTGTTGCCCCGAAGGTTCCCACAGGAAGAGCCATCTGTCTCCTTTCCTTGCCAGATCTCCTTGGCCCCCAGCTTGGCTTGCACTGTGCCTGTCCTTCTGCTGGGGCCTCCATGCTGTCTCTCCTCATCCTCACCACCACACCTCTGCCCCTCTTTCTGCTTTCCAAGCTGCTCAAGGACACCACCTTGGTGTCTGCCAAGGGACCCCGAAGCACTCCCATTGATGCTCACATCTTCATACACAAGGGTGACACAGAGACGGTGCGTATATGCAAGGTGCCCTGACAGCAGATCAATAAGCCATACCTGGACAGGGAAAGCAGGGTGGCACGTTTTAAAACAATGAAGCTAAAATAAATCCTACAATTTCCAAGTGCAGAAACGTGTCTACACTGAAGCTACTATGCCTCTGTTCCCTCTCAAATACTTAGGCAGTAGGGGGCTGGAAGGTTATAATATTTTCTGGTGTGAAGACAAAATAAAAAAATAAGAGGAAAATAAAGGAGAAAGGGGAAAAGGGAAAGGGGAGGACTCAAGAGCAGGAGAGAGAGGCCACTGAGGAGTGAGCTTGTGGAGCCAACACCCACAGCAGAATATGAAGACACGGTAAGAACGAGGTAAGACTGGATCAACAACCTGGACTTCCCACATTCGAGCTACCAGAGGAAATGTACCTCCTGCCCCAGGAGGGCAGCGACAACTAAGATTAACATGAAATGCATTACGTGTAGGCACTCCTCCAGTGCTTCCCTTTCCAAGGAATTATTTTGTAGAGACAGATAGAGCTCCCATCTGCGGTTTACTATCTAAATGCCTCCAGTGGCTGCGGCTGGGCCAGGGCCACACTCAGGCCCTGGGGAGTCAATCCAGGTCTTCCCTCAACATGGGAATCTTAGCCACTAGAGCAAACGTCCATCTCACTTGCCGTGTTCTAATTCACCTGAAGCTCACAGAGATCCTCTGAGAAAACAATATTATTCTCCACATTTATGTATGTGGGACCTGGGGTCAGAGAAAGCAAAAGTCACACAGCTGGTAAGTGGCAGACCCAGGAGTTAAACACAGGTGTTCTGACCCAGAACCCATCAGCCTGATCACCACTCTCTCAGGAGTATGGATGCTATTATTGGTAGTGTAAAATTCCACTGCTACTATGGAAAATAGTATGGTGGTTACTCAAAAAAATTGGAAATAGAATTGCCCTGTGTCCAACAATTCTACTTCTGGTCATATATCTTGAAGGACTGAAAACAGGTTATCCAAGAGATATGCGTACGCTCGTATTCAAAGCCATGTCACTCGCAATGGTCAAAAAGTAGAATCATGTGAATGGAAGGGGAGAGGGAGTGGGAAAGGGGAGGGTTGTGGGTGGGAGGGACGGTATGGGGGGGGAAGCCATTGTAACACATGAGTCGTACTTTGGAAATTTATATTCATTAAATAAAAGATAAAAAAAAAAGTAGAATCAATCCATATGTGTATCAACGAATGAGAGGACAGCAACATGCGGCATTGACATATAATGGAATATTATTCAGCCTTAAAAAGGAAGGAAATTCTGCACTTGATGAAACATGGTTGAAACTTGAGGCCATTATGCTAAGTGAAATAAGCCAGTCACAAAAAAGATAAATACCGTCCATGAGTAGTCCGATAGGTAGAGACAGAGATGGAGGGGGGTTGACAGGGACTGGGGGAGGTAGGGAATGGGGACTTATTATTTCATGGGTACAGAGTTTCAGTTTTGCAAGATGAGTCCTGGAGACTATGCACCAATGTGAATGAATGCATTTAGCACTACTAAATCACTGATTAAAAATTGGTTAAGATGGTAAATTCTACTTGAATTTTTAAAAAATTGGTTAAAAACTAAAAGATCATTGCAACTCTGGGGCCATGAGAAGGCATTGCACGTTAAGTGTTACCCAGCGCATGCGCACAGTGGAAAACCCATGCAGACACAGAGCAGTGGGAAGCAGTAGGGTACTGCATAGACCTTTCTTCTCTCGACCTTTCTCCTTTTCCTTCAACTTCTTCTTCGTCTGCACACTTGGCACCAGGGCCTGTTGTGCAGAATTGGGCTGGTTTGCCCTTTCTTTTCTGCCCTCTCCATCTCTCTCAGCTCATACAATCTGCCTTCTTAACTCATCTGTTTGACTTCACTCTTCTCTTTCCCTCCGATGCTTTTGTATGCCACTTCCACTCAAGTATTTCTTTTTTTTAACTTTTATTTAATGAATATAAATTTCCAAAGTACAGCTTATGGATTACAATGGCTTCCCCCCCATAACTTCCCTCCCACCCGCAACCCTCCCCTTTCCCACTCCCTCTCCCCTTCCATTCACATCAAGAATCATTTTCAATTCTCTTTATATACAGAAGATCAGTTTAGCATACATTAAGTAAAGATTTCAACAGTTTGCACCCACATAGAAATACAAAGTGAACAATACTGTTTGAGTACTAGTTATAGCATTAAATCACAATGTACAGCACATTAAGGACAGAGATCCTACATGAGGAGTAAGTGCACAGTGACTCTTGTTGTTGACATAACAATTTCACAATCTTCTTTATGGCATCGGTAATCACCCTAGGCTCTTGTCATGAGTTGCCAAGGCTATGGAAGCCTTTTGTCCACTCAAGTATTTCTACAAGACCTTTGTTCCTATGCCTCCACCTGCCCAATGAAATACAATAATCCCTACTCACTGGATCTAATCCCAATACCCTTTGCAGCAAGCCTCATTTTTTGTCACTCTTTTCCCTGAGTGTCATCTCTAGCTGGATCAAGTTGCCCATTGATCTCCCCACTGTGTCTCATGCTAAATCTCCCCATCTTGCAAGTTACTAAGAACCCTGTTTTCAACTGCCCACGAGCAACCTGGAAGGTCTCTGCCCTGTCCTTATCTGTCATCAGTATGAGCCCTAACCCAGGAGTTACTCAGTGAGGAGGGGTCTGCCATCATCTGCTTCTCACCCTGACCTTGTGGTTCTCTGAGTGTCACTACAGGGGTAAAAGCTCTCGTGTGTTTACTGTGGTTTGTGGGAGAAATGAAGTACATCATGGTGTTGGAGGAGCTGTGAATTCACATAAGTCTGGGGCCTATTAGACCTCCTTTCTCTTCCCCACAATTTAATCATCTCCTTCAGGAAGCCTTCTCTGGTTATTCGGAGGCTTGATGTTCTCTGCCCTCTCTTGGTTCTAATGGCAAAAGAGGAATCTTTCCCCCATAAACTCTTAGCACAGGCGATATGCTACATGATACCATTTGGAATGGCTGCATTTGAATGAATGTCACCTCCAGAATCTGGCAGAAGACAACTTTAAAGCTTAGGAAGCCGGTCCTCCATGTCTCTTGCTTTTACATCACCAAGCACAAAGCTGAACACATTGCAGGCGCTCAATGAAGGTCATGAATTCTTCATCTAGAAATAGAACCTTGTGCTCTCAAGAGTACATGATGAGCCTACAGTGATCCTCCCAAGAGGACAGATGTCATCAGGGAGACGTGGCCCATTCCAGTGAGTCACCTTGCTTCTCCTTTACGGCCATGTACTTGCCCAGTTTTTCTCTTTTCAACCTGTAGATGATACTGACATGACTTAGGATGATCAGTGATTCAGGAATTCTGAATCAGTGCAGAATCAGGAGTGGGGAAATTCTGAGAAAGTTATTTCTTTTTCACATTATAGTTTCCTTATTCCAAAGTAGGATTAAATTGGGGCAACACCAGGCACTGTAAAGATTTGTTATCCTGGGGCTGGTGCCATGGCTCATTTGGTTAATCGTCCACCTGCAGCACCGGCATCCCATATGGGCGCTGGGCTCTAGTTCCGGTTGCTCCTCTTCCAGTCCAGTTCTCTGCTGTGGCCCAGGAGGGCAGTGGAGGATGACCTGAGTGCTTGGGCCCCTGCACCCACATGGGAGACCAGGAGAAGCACCTGGCTCCTGGCTTTGGATCGGCATAGCTCTGGCAGTGGCAGCCATTTGGGGGATGAACCAACGGAAGGAAGATCTTTTTCTCTGTCTCTCACTGTCTAACTCTATCTGTCAAATAAATAAATAAAAAAAGATTTGTTATCCTGTAAAATCCTTTCGCCCAACACACTCAAAATGTTACATAGCTTTTTAAAAAATATTTATTTTATCTGTTTCAAGTACAGAGTGACAGAAAGGAAAGGAGAGATAGGGAGAGAGAGAGAGAGAGAGAGAGAGAGAATGAGAGAGATTTTCTATCCACTGGCTCGTGCCCCAAATGGCAGGGATGGACTACACTGAAGAGAGGAGCCTGGAACTCCGTCGGGATCTCCCATGTGAGTGGCAAGGCCCCAGATCCTAGGGCCAGCTTCTGCTGCTTTCCCAGGCACATTATCAGGAAGCTAGATTGAAAGCAGAGTTATCAGGACCTAAATCTGTGCTCTGATTTGGGATGTCAGCTTTCTAAGTGGCGTCTTAACCCCCACACCACAATGCTGGCCCCATAATGTTAGTTCTCCAGTTACCCTGGGTTAATGTAGGATGGAAGGAGAATATCGTGGAAGTCAAATCTGCGGGGGACTCACACTCCACAAACCTGGTGGCAACAATTGGTTTGCTCTACCCAGAAAACAACTTCAGAGAAATAGGAGACAGGGTCTCTAACGGCATAACAGCATCAGAATCACTGTCCTTACAGTCCTGGCAGGAGTGGATGGGTCACCAGGAACCTGATCAGGAAGCCACGCCCTGGTGAGGATCTCCTAGATGGCTACCAATTATGCGTGGCCTTTACTGAACATTCTGGGCTGGCTTCTCCTGGAAGCACAGAGGAGGACAAACAATCAAATACAATCCTCCCAGCCCTGGCACAATAGCCTTTTGCTTTGTCTATTCTCTAGGCAAGAACATGGCAATTATTTTCTGAGCCAACGTGTCTGAGCAGTAAAGTATT